CCGAGAAGCTGCGCCGCTCCCTGTTACTTCTCCCTCCCAACCATTCGTGGTCGCCAACCCACCCCCTCAAACCACCAAAACCCCTCCAACGGAGGTCATTAACTGCGATCTTCCAAGGGTGATCCATCTTACCCAACGTTCTGCCCGACATCCTGCTGCCCACCTCTTCCTCTCTGGCGACGGTGCCCGCTCTGTGCCTGGCAGGGGGAGAGCCAACAGGCTGGTCGCTCGGTTTGGAGCATCTGGTGTTCACCGCATCCAACTTGTTCCTCTGCCAGTCTGCGATGCCAATGGGGTCGGGGGTGGGTGGGTGGGTGGGGGGTGCACGTTGGGTGGGGAACGGGGAACATGAAACAGTCAGCAACCACAGACCCCCAACCTCACCCGCCCCGAGAGATAACCCCCACCAACGCCCCCATGCCCCAACAAACCAGGACTCGCCCCGCACCAGCGAGTCGAGCTCGCTGCATTCCTCTACCCCCCCCCCCCCCACCCAAATTGGGGGGGGGGGGGGGGGGTGGTGGGGAGCGCACGACCACCTCACCATCAAAATGTTCCGAGGGGACGTGAGAGAGCCGTTTCCCCCTGCACTTCCCTGGGAGGCTCAAAATGACGGGCGCCCCCCCGCCCCCCCCCCAAACACCCCCACCACCTCAGTCGGAGAATCTCTCACCCTCGGAGGTTCCGCGGAGTTTGGAATTCCCTCGCCTCAGAGGCTGAGACCCCAATGCCGAGAGGGGAGGGGTAAAGAGGGACCGGAGAGGGACTTGTCAGGTGTGACGGAGCGGGATAGCAGGCTGGAGAGGGCCAGAGCGGCCTCGACTCCCGTTTCTTGCGGGTGGAAAATTGGGGAATGGGGCAAAACCCGGGGTGCTGGGGGTGGGAGGGGGTGGGGGAAGGTGCGTTTGGAGGGGTTATATTTTATTTATTGGTGTGAATGTGAGCGGGGGCTCTCGAAGGGCGGGGAGGGGAGCATTGGTGTACGGTAAGCTGCTTACAAACGTCAATCCTCTTCCTCAGCTTCTTGGTCCAGCTCTGCTGTGGGTCCACACAGGTGACGCCTCCATACTTCGGGTAGAATCTGAAAATCGGAGACGGGTTCGCAACGTCAGGGTCTGTCAGTTTATCCTGGACCCCATCGCAGTGTCCAGCTCCCCCTGTATCTAACCCCGTGCTGTCCCTGTCCCTGGGAGTGTTTGTGAGGACAGTGTAGAGGGAGCTTTACTCTGTATCTAACCCTGTGCTGTCCCTGTCCCTGGGAGTGTTTGATGGGGGACAGTGTAGAGGGAGCTTTACTCTGTATCTAACCCCCGTGCTGTCCCTGTCCTGGGAGTGTTTGATGAGGGTGGACAGTGTAGAGGGAGCTTTACTCTATATCTAACCCCCTGTCCCTGGGAGTTTTTGATGGGGGACAGTGTAGAGTGAGCTTTACTTTGTATCTAACCCCATGCTGTCCCTGTCCTGGGGAGTGTTTGATGAGGGTGGACGGTGTAGACAGAGCTTTACTCTGTATCTAACCCCGTGCTGTCCCTCTCCTGGGGAGTGTTTGATGGGGGACAGTGTAGAGGGAGCTTTACTTTGTATCTAACCC